GACGCATTAGGAGATGCTGAGGCGCGCCCAACTCTCTCAAATGTAATCAGCCTACCTCTGTGTTTTAAGAGGAAATAGAGGGTGCCGTCTTCTTTCTGACTTCTCCTCTTTCCCAGACATAATGTCTCAGTAAATAATAAAAAAAACATTAATAGCTGTGTATGGATTTTTCTCATGACTGCCTTGTACTGATTTGATTTGTCTCCCTTTTTAGGTTTCGGGGAAAAAAAGATAAGGGCGATACTTGTGAAGAATAAACTCATCCCATAAAGATTTAGATAGATTCAGATTTCCTAAGGTAAGATATAAATATATCTGGTTGAAATACTATTCACTTGAAATCTTGCCCCTTTAATGCTTTCCAATATATTGCATGTTCTCCTAGTGTGTGCAATGTCTTACATTTTTTTACATCAATTATATTTTTAACCCACAGTGCCATTTTTGTATTAAGTCATTTCAAATGTACTGATGCCATCATTTGAAATGAGTAAATGGCATAATTTGACATACATTAAAACAATATAACATTCTTCTAATGCCACAATTTGCACATTGTACACAATATTAAGGAATGGCTGTGCTCGAGCTTTAAAATGATCACACTTATAGGCTTTTCTACATGTATACGCTACCTCCTTTTTTACATTGAATGACTTTTTTTCAGTCAGAAATAACCCCATTTCACACGTTCTTGTTCTATATTCAAGCCGTTAAATTGATCTTCAATTGCGTTCCAGGTAGTACTATAAAGCTCTTTAAACGTGGCTTTGTTAAACCTTCTAAAAGTCTGCGTCTCCCTGTCCTCCCCCTGTAATTGATTTCACACCTTTGAGCCTCACAATAGTTTCCTGAGTGCACTTAGAGGGATCCATGTAGATCTCGCACCAGCTTTACTACAATCCTTCGCTGTTTGAAGTCCTGACTGTCCCTCAGCAAAACACACGACTAATAGAGAGCTCGGGTGAAAAAAGACTCGTGGGGCACCAGGAGCAGGACAAAGGATGGGGGGGCTGGGAATGGCAGGGTTGAGGGGAGGGGATGGGAAAGAGCTGGTGAAAAGTCAGGGAGATGGCTTTTGAAAAGATGGCATTTCCTATTATACCCTCCTGCCTTTAGCTTTCTTTCAATTCCTTCATTCCCTCAGAAATGTCTCGGATCATTCATCCTCTTTTCACCCTTCATTTCTCCCGTATCACATCATTTCTTGTAACAGCTGTTCACTCATCTGTTTCACTTTTGATCTCGTTTCAGATTTTTCCACCGTAGCTCTACCTGCTTTAAATGTTCATCTTCCTCGCATCTTATAAAATCATGAGATAATCCCAACGCTACAATTTGTGCATTTTGACACAATGTTAATGCAGTATAGATTTTCTTAAGTCCAATATGTTTTCTTTTAATGATCACAGTCAGTTTAATGAAAGTTTGATACGTTTGACTTTTAATACGATACTTCCTTTTTACATTTACCTCTTTAAATCTAAAATGACCACATTCAAACACAGTTTTTTCTCCTTTTTTTCATTCCCCCACTAAGGGAAGCTGCAATGACAGCCGATTGATCTCACACACAAATGCATATGTCTCCAATATTGATTGTTTTCTCACACCGTGCACATGTAGACACACATAACATTATTTATACGCGCCATTAAGTCGCCGTCTCGCTTCGGCAAGTCTCCGTGGATCCATAGTGTTCAGGTGGAGGAGGGTTTTTTTTTTCTTCTCGAGGCGCTCGTGGACGTTATCTTGAAACGAGGGTCTGGCTGCCATAGCAACCATATGATGAGGCAGCCAGGGCTATTTAAAGGAATTCAGCTGCTGCTCGCATTCCCGTCAGCTTCACACCAGTCCACTGAAAGACAAAGAAGTGGAAGTGAATGCACAGACACTTATAGTTCCACCCCTGCAGTCTAATGTCTGGTATTAGGGCTCGAAGCAGCGGAAAAGCAGAATAAATTAAGGGCTGCTTACTCTACGTAAACGAACAATGGAGTCTGAACATTGATTTAGTAATAATCTCCTACCCTTCAGTTTTTTCTCTATGCCTCCTTAGTATGTATTCTTCCAGTTAAATAGATCCAATTCGAGATGAAGTGTTTACATTTTAAAACACCTATCCTGTTATTTCAGTAATGTACATATTTTGAATCCATTCGTATGAAATGTACCCTCTTTTTCAACAAAAGTAAAAAATATTTTCCTGCAATATAATATATATAAAACAATATATATGCAAAAGCTTGCACATTAGGGGATTTTTTTTTACGTTGATGTGCATTTGCTGGAATTATCTGCAGAAGAGGGCCACTCTAATGTAACGCCTGAAAGTATTCATATAAAAAGCAAACACACCTTTTTCTCCAGGGAGGTTTTTCTCGGTGGACAGTCACACATGGGGAGAGGAAGAAAAAACGTTGTGCACCTACAGCGCTGTGCATGCCAAACAGACGCAGAGCAGACAAAGGAAAGCACAGTTTCTCACACACATATTTATCTGTCAGACGCACACCTGGAGGAAATTGACATTTATCTCCTATCACCTACTGAGAGCATTTCTGTATTCTCACTTAACCCCCCCATGTGTCTCTGTCAACATCTAACTGTAAGTGATAGGCAGCGCTTCCTCTCTATTATTCTGCTTTTCTGTTCACTAAGTAACCACTAAAACATGGCACTGCTAGTCAGACTGACTTTTTTTAAAAACACGTCTTATTCAGGGTGGCCACCCGAACGATTTTACTGGGGTACAGAGTTCAAGATTTGAGCTTTTTTAGTTCAGTATAAAGTCATAGCCCACAAAAAGAACATCAAATGATTAGTGTTTGTTTTAGTAACAGAATTTGTGCCAATGACTGATATGATTTTATAAATTAAATTATTGGAAACAAATCCTTTTCAAATCAAATCAAATCAAGTCTTATGTATGTAGCACATTTTTATAACGATTTTTGGTCGAGCCAAAGTGCTGTACATGCAATAAAAACACTTTACTACAATAGCAAACAGACTGTGCTTTTATCAGCACAGTCTTTGCTGCAACTCTATCCCTAATTGTATAATCATTACATGTTCTTATGTAGCGGGCCAGGCCTATTGTGCCCCCCCCCCCCCCCCCCCCTAGAACCGCCCATGATCACATAAATAAAACACTTTAATAAAGAGATAACTGATTAGTCTGGAAACTGGCGAGTTGATTGAAATAACATTTATTATTTCACCTTTTTGATAATTAATGAATGCTTTGAAGTAATTTTTCAAACGCATCATGTATTTCTAGCTTCTGAAATTCAAAAATGTCATGTTAGTCTTTTGTGATATATTCTCCTTGGGGAGACTAAATATTTAATGATTTATTGAGAAGAGAATCAAAGTAATAACATATAGTGATTAATTGCAACCTTTAACATACTTCCAGTTATTAGTCTGTCCCAGTGCTTTATAAATGAGCATCAGTGAAGAGGCTGTAATCAAACGACTTAATGATTTGTAGTATAAACTTCACTGGTTTGGCTCACAGGGTTAATAGGTCATTCTTCCTCGTCTGTAAAGAAAGGCTCGTAATTTTAACGTCTTTCATTCAACTGACTTTACATTTGAAGTGCACGATTATTGGTGGAACTGCCGCCGTTCTTTTATGGCCCTGTTGAGCCTTTTCCAAGCCCTGTGAGAGCAGTCAGGAAGATTTTAAATTGCTCCAAAGACGCAAAATGATGAGTGACCTCTCTCATAACACTCCCTCTGCTCCTCACTTCGCTCTTTATCTATTTTAATCCCAACTCATTTCATATGCTAAGTAAAAGCTTATATCCCTCTTCACTGTACGTACACGCACATCCTTCATTGCTGTGGTGTGATTATAACATTTGCATAGAGGATGTTGTTGGAGTGCAGAAGCAGGGGGTGGTCTAATGCCTGTCAGGTGTAGAGAGGTGGATTTATGAGGAGAAGTCATTGTGAGGAGCCTAGAGAAAGCTTTCCTCTCTCCTAACCTCCGATGGTTTCCTCTGACTCTAATTTGCATTTTCTCTTCTCACAGTTATCCCAGATGTAGCGATGATAAGGAGGAAAGGGAGACTCTTCCCCCGGGGAGGATGCAATGAGATGGAAACACTTTTCTGCTTTCCGAAAGGAGAACTTCTCCCACCATCGGGGCGCCATCTGCTGGTTCTGGTGGGGCGGGACAGCTGGTGTTGTGAATCAGGCCGCCGAAATCCAAGGACCGGCTACTTCCCAACACCAGGGTCCCACCCTCACCCCTCACATCCTCACAGGATTGACCTCAGTCTCAAATGACTTCTTCATTGTATATGCTCTCTTGTGTTGGATGTAATGGTGATTAATTAATTGTAGTACTAGTCCAAATCTGTGTGATGTATATTTCCTATGCATTGTATCCTGTCAAATTATGAATTACCAAAAAAGGTATAGTAAATATATCAAATAAAAATATTAAACTATGTCACTCCACATGAACACATTTAACATGGATAATACCATATATTTGTATATATTTGTATTTCCCCAAATAAAGAAATAAAATATACATTTAAAAAAAATATGACTGTGGGTTTGTTCTTTGAATTAATCAGAAAAAAACCTCTTTAAAGGGGCCCCTATTATGCTTTTTGGGGTTTTCCCTTACTGTAGTGTGTTATCTAAATGGTCTGCAAAGGCTAAAATCCTAAATTCCCTCCAGAGGGAGTTTTCACTCCCATGACACTGTTATCCAAAGCAACCTACAATACCTAAAATAATCCATGAAATTACAAACTCTGAACATTTTCCACTTGTATAGCTTCCATAATATATGTCATGTTCTTGTAACTGATTGGTTTTTCATTTTTTCTTAATTTAATTCACGTTTTCAATACATTAATGTGAACAGGTGAGCATTCTTGCGCATGCGCAGAATGAGCGGTGTCATTGGTCAATTAATGTGCCGATGGGCTGCACGGAAAATGGACGCTATGAACGGGGGTATTTTTGACGTCTTCACGCATGTTGTTTACTTGCCGCACTCTTCAACCAGTAACCAGGTCTAGATATATCATTTATCTCCCTTTGATGAGTCAGTTATTTATTTATAAGCATGTTACCCTCTTCTACCAGGAACAAACTTAACCGAACCGCGTTGCAAAACTTCAGTCTGACGCTGGTGCCGCGGCGTAGACGAAACTTACAGAATAATTTTGCAACTGAGAAACCAGAGGAAAACAAACTTGTTCCTGAACCTAAAGACAGTAACTCTTTCCAAAACAACAATGCATCCGTGCCATCGTCTTTAACAAGCCCCGCAAACGTGACGGAAACGATCGAAGGAGAACCGGAGGAGCCGTGCGTAGGAACGCAAAAGTCAAAATGGAGATCCAAAGGGGATGGTAGTGTGCACGTTATTGATCAAGAGGGACCATGCACCAGAGGCAAGTTTCAAAAGAATAAACCAAACACCAGGAGCAAGAGCAAGCACGGGGTGCACACTTTAAAGGAGCTCTGCAACCTCAGATTGAAGTTTTCTTGGTGCGTTTGCACGGCTGCAGACAGGAAAGAGGTGGTCAAACCAAAAAGGGGCAAAAAGAACTTGATTAGCCACGCTACAAAGAGTAAAAAGACAAGTGTAGGCAAAAAAAGCAAAATGTCGGTCAAAAAGGAATTAAATAACGAGGCTACAAAGAGTAAAAAGTCAGGTGTTAATGGGAAAACTCGCATTGGTAGAAGAGCCAGGGACAGCGAGTGTAAAGAGAAGGCCAAGTCCGCCTGGTGTGATCCAGATCCGGCTGCTGCACAGACACGAACACGGTCCTCCATTACCGCGGAACTGTCAAGTAAGGGCCACTTTAAGAGGGTTGTTTGACCATCACTAAGCGTGCACAGAAACTGGCATTGGGGTCTAGTAAATGTGTGTTAATTGGGGTTGATTTGGTAGGAAAAGGCTGTTAGCTAATGTGCTAATTGCATGCGTTTTGCTAAGTTTTTTAGAACGTGTTTTATGCTAAGCTAAAGGCGACTAATGTGAATCCCATCCTACAGAGATGGGAAGTAACTTAAGTACATTTACTTAAGTACAATGTTAATGTACTTTTCTTAGGTATTTCCATGTATTGCTACTTTATTATTCGACTCCACTACATGTATTAAACAGCTTTAGATACTTCAAAAAATACATCTCTTAAAAATGAGCTACTTGCCTAGCCTATAAGTGTTTTCTGTCATTAGATAAGTAATGTCTAATATTAAAACATACACAATTGAGGTAATCGACCCCATATTTTTTATACTGATTTGTAACCCTCCTGTCTTGCTTGTTTCTCCCCCCTTACCGTTGTGTTCACGGTGGTCTGTTTTAGCCAGAGGTGGGAGAAGTACTTAAGTAGAAGTACCAAAGTGTAGGAATACTCTGTTACAAGTAAAAGTCCTGTTATCAAAATGTTACTCAAAAGTACTAGCATCAAAATATACTTAAAGTCCCAAAAGTAAAAGTACTCATTATGCAAATTGTCCATTTCAGAATAATATATATGATGTGTTTTGATTATAATTATTAATGCATTATTAATGTGTTTAACAAAGCTGGTAAAGGTGCAGCTAGTTTGAATGACTTTGTATACTGCAGGGTAGCTTGTGAATTTAGGTGTAACTAAAGTGCCTTGCAATTCAATGTAAAACACAATTTTTAAGATTGAAAGTAGCAAAGTGGTCAGATGTGACCAGAAACATGACAGAAGGGTTAAAAAAAGATAGTAAAGCTCCCCTAAGCTTTTTGTTTCACCTACTGTCTCACAGGCAGTGGCTCAAATGATCTGATGATGCTAACATTGGTAGGTTTATAAAAGGGCTAAGCAATATATTTGGATATATTATCGTAATCGTCATATCAGACTAGAAATCTTCTTAGATATTTAATATCCGAATATCTTAAGTGTTGTGTTTTGAAAAGCTGCGTTACAGTAGTCATTTTCAGAATTTACCGTCAATGGGCAACTCTACAATATCAAAATGGACGTATTTGTTAGAAAATAAAATGATATTTATGATTCTTTAGATCACTCAGACCTAGTTTAAATCTGTGGAACAAAACAAAAAAACCGCTTAAATTGTGAGAGGGGATTTTCTTAGTGCTTAATAATTCCAGATGTTGACTGATGCATTGCACAATTTAACAAGTTTTTGTTTTCACAGATGATGATACAATTACGCACCCAAGCCCTGCCAGACTTGCTGGTTCAGATGGGTCTTTGGAAAAGGCTGCCAAATCCTCTGTTTGCAGCCTCTCTGGTGACTGTAAATACATTTCCCGTCATCAGACAACTTTGGGTGAGCACTGGCAAAAAAGCAGTAGCTGTGAGCCAGAGCATCCTACAGTTGAGGTTGAGAACAATAAAAAAGCCACGGTCACCTCTAAGAAGATTATCGTATGGATAGACCAGTACCCGAAGGTGATGCTTTGTGACATCGCTAAAAAACGAGAAATGAGAGCTGGATTTTCATTTGAGCCTGGGTGTTTAGGGCATAACAAGCAAACAATCGAGGAAAGTGTTTCGGCTAAAAGAGTTCAGTCTGTCTGTCGCGCTCTGAGTCCTACTGAACACCAGAGCCATCGCACAAATGCAAAGACAGTATCCAGTCACAAGAGATGTCGTTCCCTGAAGAGTCGGACAAGTAAAAGCTCCACTACCTGTTCTGCTTCTTCCTCACTAGGTGAACACACACAAAAAGGGCAGTGCAGGACTCTCATTCATGGCAGAGATGTTGCAGAAGATCCTGGCTCTCGATCCAACCTAGTAGGAAAGAAAATCCACAGGGATAAAAGACTGAAGCTAGGGCATGGTGTTAAAGATGGGACGTTGCCATCTACTCCGGATTTCGAAAATGTCACTTGCAAAGACCAAGCAGAAACAGACTCTGTAGACAAAGAGATGTCTGTTGAAAGTCGGGCATGTGTAGAGAGTGCAGTTTGTGATAGCAGCTGTTTTGGCTCCGCTGAGAAAGAAAACAATGTCCGCAATAGCCCTTGTGATGAGAAAGACAATCCCACAAACACTGAGGCAGCAGAAATGTCATCAGAAGTGTTCAGTGAGACCAACGAGGTTGAAACGGAGGAACTAGACTCATTTACCTGCCAGAGAGCGAGGCCCTATATCAGGAAAATACAATATTCTTGTGCACGCACTTTTATGTCCTGGCCCTTCCCTAACAGTGGCTTGATCCCAAAACCACATAACACAGACTGTCAAGCAGAGCCTATTGATCTATCAGCTCGAAATAACAGCAACGCTCCATCCGATCAAATTCAGCCAGGTATATCCAGCAAACGGACCAATGATGAACTCCCACATTCAGAGGCCTCCTCAATCACAGCCCATCATGTTTCCAATCAAAAGGAAGACAAGCGAGAAGAGAATGGCGAAAGCATTTTAAAGGAGAGGAATAAGCAAACGCATGACAATATTTCATCATTATCTAGGGAGTTTGCATCTCACCTTATGGAGGCAGAAGAACCCAGTCTCTCATTGGATAAGGCTTCATTTTCCAACCCAAGTCAGAGAGGAAAAGAGACTCAAACTGACATAGTCTTAGCCGCATCTCCGCCAGTTGATAGACCTGAACCGGACAGCTCCACGTTGACCCCTTCCCCATCAGCTCTTGGCCTGAGTGACTGTGAAACTGCCACTACTTTATCTCCCATGTCATCTCTGTTCTCACACAGTGGTCCGAGCAGCCTTCCAGCCACACCCTCCTCTCTCACACTTTTCATCGTTCCTACTGAAGTCGAAGGTGTTGAATCAGATTATTCTGCATGTACGTCCTCAACACCCAAATGTATGGTCAAAGCTGGATATAAAGAATTGTTCACCTGTGAAGAAACCCAAATAACATCATGGACTTCACCTTCTGCTCCTTCACATAACTCCTTTGATTCATGTCAATCTTCCCTCCTCCTTCCTCAAGTCGAGCAAGAGAGTGACAAAGAACTCCTCATACACGAAATGGATTCATATGCGTTTATGCTTCCACAGATTCTCTCTCCTGTCAATTCCCCCCAAGGAAAATCACGAAAAAGCCTTTTGCCCCCCCAAAGCCAAGACTGCCCAGGTGACGCAAAGGAGGACCAACACATGGACTCCAGCACACGTCAAGTGTTACCTGAATGTCACATGCCAGAAATTGTCAATTGCAATAATAAAAACTCAAAGAATGATATTGAACATAATAGGGAAGACTTGGAAGGAGTCTCTAAAACTACTCCAAAGGAAGTGGAGTCTTCACCATACAATAATGAAGATGTGGAGGATGGTAATGAAGAGGAAAGCCAGGATGAAACCGACAATGAAGATGATGTGGAACAGGGTAACAACAAATCAGATCAAGTTCCTTCCGAGGCTAAAAGAAAGGCGAGCATAACCTCAGGAGCTCTGACAGAACCCAGCTCTTCTCCCAGCTGTGATGAAGACGATGACAGGTCTCTCAGTGATGAAGGACAGCCAAGTCCTATTGGAGAAGAAGGATCTAGTCCATCTGAAGTAGCAGGCAGTGATAGGGATGAAAGTGTGGAAGAGGATACTCAGCCGAGCGTTCTGGACGATGTCACAGCTTACGAACAGGACATCCTACTTGTCGATATGAACCAGGACGACTTCGAGCTGTTCCAAAACCTGCCCCAGGAGAGTGTGCTGAAGCTGGGCCCCACCCGGGTCACAGAGGCCCCTAAACACAGACCTGTTGGAGTGGTGAAAACACTGACGCCCAGGATACATAGTGCATCACTGGAGTTTAAAGAGTACGGTCTCTTTATTTAAAAGCATATCCTTACTGAGTTGCATTGCTCATTGCAAATTCAATAAAAAATGTATTTTATGTTTCAGATCGAGCTCAGTTGATACCTACGATGGCGGTCCTGATGTCACAGGTAAGACCACTGCGCCAGTCAGAAAATGCAGAGCAGTAATCCGTCATTTGAAACCAAAACACAACATTTAAAACAATTACCATAGCAAAAGACACATTTTATATATACTTCTGATTCTGAATTCTGCTCAGGGACTTATGTGATAATACAAATAACGAAAAAGAGTAACCTTATGTTACGAAAAATAATTGTTTTTGGTTGTAGAATTTTATTAAACAGATCCTATGGTTGTGTTGTTTGTGTGTGTTTTACAGAACAGGAGAGCAGGACATGGAGACCTCAGTGTAGCAGAAACCCGTCCCCCACGCAAAGCAGCACATGGCCTTCGACTGAAAACACGGTACTGTCTAATGTAGTGTTCTATAGTGGACAAGTAAACACGGTCTTTCACCACTTTTATTGCAATGTATCAGGCATTGCAACATAAACATTAACAGGGTTTCTCTCCTGCATAATTGCTCTCTGTGCCTTCCCTCAGGTAAAAGTCCAGAATGAAAAGATGAGCATGATGCAGACCATCATTATTTACAAATAATAAATAACAAAGAGTGTCGGGCACATTTTCAATATAGAAGTATCTAAATTCACATGGGACTTCACAGGATGTTTTAATATCCTGTTCCAGGATCAATTTTGAGAGCTCAGCTCAGCCGCGGCGCCAGGATTTCAATTTTGGGTGGGCCAATGTAATTTCGGCTGGGTCTGTTCTAATAGATGTTTCTCGTTAACTAAAATAAAATAAAAAATAAATGCCTGCATATCATTGTTGGCAACTGTGGAATGCATATTTCCTATAGTAAAGACACTTTTTCTAAACCCTTCTCTTTTAAACATTTTCACTTTATAAGAAGCTTAAATATTATTTTAAATGATTAAGCGGCACGCCGCCATGAGTGAAATTAAATGTTAAACTACTGCATGTTATTTTGTTTTGGTTCACAATACATTGATACATTTAGAAACAATGAGCATACAACGGCAGAATATGGAATAATGACCGAGCACCTGATGTGTGTCTGTGTGGTTAGACTGCAGCCTGATATGTGTCTGTGTGGTTAGACTGCAGCCTGATTTGTGTCTGTGTGGTTAGACTGCAGCCTGATGTGTGTCTGTGTGGTTAGACTGCAGCCTGATGTGTGTCTGTGTGGTTAGACTGCAGCCTGATGTGTGTCTGTGTGGTTAGACTGCAGCCTGATGTGTGTCTGTGTGGTTAGACTGCAGCCTGATGTGTCTGTGTGGTTAGACTGCAGCCTGATGTGTGGTTAGACTGCAGCCTGATGTGTGTCTGTGTGGTTAGACTGCAGCCTGATGTGTGTCTGTGTGGTTAGACTGCAGCCTGATGTGTGTCTGTGTGGTTAGACTGCAGCCTGATGTGTGTCTGTGTGGTTAGACTGCAGCCTGATGTGTGTCTGTGTGGTTAGACTGCAGCCTGATGTGTGTCTGTGTGGTTAGACTGCAGCCTGATGTGTGTCTGTGTGGTTAGACTGCAGCCTGATGTTTGTCTGTGTGGTTAGACTGCAGCCTGATGTGTGTCTGTGTGGTTAGACTGCAGCCTGATGTGTGTCTGTGTGGTTGTCTTGTTTATTGTTTGGCTACTTTCTGGTGACGACAGTGTTCCCGCTTCCTCTCCCATAAAGTTGCCCTTATTATGCTCTTTTGAAAGTTCTGCTTGTGGCGTTGTGGCCGAGCTATCATTAGCATTTGAGTTCCCAGCTTAGCTGCGTTCAATTTAGTATGGAAAGCCCACGGTGCCATATTTTGCCCGTTTTTTGTTTAGGTGCAGAGAGTAAGGTAAGTACTGGCCATAGTTACTACTGTAACTACGGTCCTAGGCCATGTAACTACGGCATGGTTACTACTGTAACCATGGCCTATGGTTCTATGCGGGCTGTTCTATTCCTTATGCTGCGTTCACACCGGACGCGATGCGAATATTCGCTTCGCTCTAATCGCTCCTATCGCATCGCTCTAAACGCTGGAGTTTCACCGCGGCTGCCAGCTGTGTTTACTCGCATCATTCAAACAAGACGCGCTGGCTCGAGAGCTACAACTACAACAAATGAACATATTTTACCGTGATTAAATTGTAATACACGTTTCTAAATGATGCCGAAGTAACAACATACTGATACCGGTTAGTAACAACCATGAATTAATGCTTGACAAGTCTGCAGACAAGACGGCAGGCAAAACACCTTTTAAAATGCTTGTTTTCTGAATGAAGATCGGGTCGAACAGGCTAAGCTAACGTTGTATATGCTCATTCCACACTCATAACAACGGCCTACAGACATAAATAAAGCAGCGACTGTATTCGCCATGGCACAGACAGTCTGTGGTTTGTACTTGTTTAACTTTTGTCCAGTTTCTGAACAGATATGAGGAGCTGTGAGCTCTGTGTGCTAACTGCTAACAGCTAACGGCTGATGTTGTGTGGTTGAACGTCAGTGACGGCGGCTGAGATCCTCACCGCTGATTGGCTTCCGCGAGAACGCGTCACGTGAATTTGACGCTCGAGTTGAAAAAATTGAACTCTCGCGTTTAACGCGGCACCGTTCAATCGCCTCAATCGCGTGATTCGTGCCGCGTCCACCGCTTCATGCGCGCCGTCGGCGCAAATTCGCGTCTGTCCGCGTCTCTGCATTGACTTTACATGTAATCGCGCCGCCCCCAAACATCGCATCGCGTCCGGTGTGAACGCAGCATTAGAAGCTAATTATCTGGTCTTAACATTTGTGTTTTGACTTGGTCTCGCTGGATTGTTAGCAGCAGCCGCTGGGCTAACACCTTGCATGTACTGTTAAGCTTCATTATTTAACTCAGCCGGTGAGGGCAGTACTCTCACTCCCGCTCCCGGTAACGTATGGTTTTGATTGCAGTAGCGCTATATTGTTGTATTTAGTGTATTAGTACTAGACTCCTAGCACTAGGATGGGTAGATGCGGAGAACAATCTTCACTGTGTGTGCTGTGTGCTCTGCATGTGTGGCCATTAAGAGGATTTTATCCTCCCAAGATTATATTATCTAGTGTGCAGCCGTTTGGCTGACACTTTTAAGCACCGGCCACGGTTACTTTTGCCATAGTTACTACTGTAACTACGGTTCTAAGCCGTTTAAGTATTGGCCATAGTTACTACTGTAACTACGGTTCTACGCCGTGTAGATACTGGCCATAGTTACTACTGTAACTACGGTTCTAAGCCGTGTAAGTACTGGCCATAGTTACTACTGTAACTACGGTTCTAAGCCGTGTAAGTACTGGCCATAGTTACTACTGTAACTACGATTCTAAGCCGTGTAAGTACTGTCCATAGTTACTACTGTAACTACGGTTCTAGGCCGTGTAGGCACTGGCCATGGTTACTACTGTAACTACGGCTCTGTGTTGTTCTCTTTGGAAGCTAGTTATCTGGTCTTAAACATTTGTGTTATTTGACTTGATTTCGCTTGATTGTTAGCAGCAGCCGCTTGGCTAACGCCTTGCATGGTCTGTTAAGCTTCATTATTAACTCAGCTGGTGAAGGCAGTGCTCTCGCTCCCGGTAACGTATTGCCCTGTAACGTATTGCTCTGATTGTTAGCAGCGGCCGCTTGGCTAACATCTGGCGTGTTCTGCGTGCTGCTTGATTCTTAGCAGCAGCTGCCTGGCTAAGCTGCCCCGTTAAGCTTCTTTGTTTAATCTAGCTAGGTGTAGGCAGTGCTCTCGCTCCCGCTCCCTCTGCTAGTAACGTGGGTGTAGGTCATTCACATCCCTCTCTGTGTTCGGCGAGTAGGAGCATTGCTCTACTCTTTCCGTTCAGGCTGTGTTCCCGCACCCGCTCCCGGTTACGCTGCATCTGGCATTTGTCTCTGACTCAACCAGTGAAGGCAGTGTTCTCGCCCCCGCTCCTGGTAGACGTGTACTTGATTCTAGCAGCAGCCGCCCGGCTAAGCTGTCCTGTTAAACTTCTTTATTTAATCCACCTAGGTGAAGGCAGAGCTCTCGCTCCCGCTCCCTCTGCTGGTAACGTGGGTGTAGTTACATCCCTCTCTGTGTTCGGCGAGTAGGAGCATTACTCTACTCTTTCCGTTCAGCAGGTAGCTGGTGAAGGCAGTGTTCCCGCTCCCGGTTACGCTGCATCTGGCATTCGTTTCTGACTCAACCAGTGAAGGCAGTGTTCTCGCCCCCGCTCCTGGTAGACGCTAGACTGCCTTGTTTATTAATCCAGCTAGGTGAAGGCAGTGCTCTCGCTCCCGCTCCCTCTGCCGGTAACGTGGGTGTAATTTCATCCCTCTTTGTGTTCGGCGAGTAGCAGCACCGCTCTACTCTTTCCGTTAAGCAGGTAGCTGGTGAAGGCTGTGTTCCCGCACCCGCTCCCGGCTACGCTGCATCTGGCTACCTACAGAATGGCTCATTCATGTGGCGCCTGTATGGCTTCTCTTGAGCCCGAGGACGGCCATGACCGCTACCCCCCTCTGCTTTGGCCTCGAGCATTTGAGGGAGGGTCTCACGCAAAGCGCCTGCATGAGCCGTAGCTTCATGCCTCGGGCGCTCAGAGTGGCTAGAGTCGCAGAGGTGGCACCTCTCCTCGTCACAACTTCCTCCAGCTCAGTCTGGCCGTTCCCGGCGACTTGATGGAGTGATGGCTATGGGTTCACCCCCCAGGTAGAGGACTAGAAGCAGGCTGTCCTCTAAGGTGGATCGGTTAGCTACCGTCACGGAGCAGACGAAGTCGCTCCTGTTGGCCCTTCAGCCAGGGGCCGGTGTGGGGGCTAGCTTGCCGCCTGGCCCTCCTTCGGTTGCACACCTCTGCTTGAGGATGCCATGTCGCTAGAGGCTTCGGCTAAACCTCTTATATGAAGGGGAGGGGAGGGGAGGGGGGGGGGGCGGTGCCCCGCGGTGCCCCGCGGTGCCCCGCTCACCCCCGCTCACCCCCGAGGAAGCTTCCCACTCCTCTGCTCAGAGCTCTCTGCAGGGCATGGAGGACGCCTCCATGGCGGCCATGATTCGGACGGCCCTGGTACGCTTACAGCTTCAGGTTCCGCAGACCGACTCGGCTCAGGCTAGCGCCTTCTTCAGGCATAACCCTGCCCCTGTCACTCTCACTGTTCTTCAGAGGAGTACCTGAGGGAGCTCCATGCATGCTGGAGAGACACCAGGGCCCTCTCCCACTCTGCTGCCATGCAGGATCCGGCGAGGGTGGGGCTGGGTCGCTTGCCATCCATTGAGCCTGCCATCGCCTCCCCGATTCTGGCTCCTCTCTCTCATCTGATGCTGGCTGTCTCTACCTCTCTGCAGCAGGCTCCGGCTGAGCCTTCTTTGCTGGGCCTCGGTGTTGCATCACTGTAAGCCTTTGCCCTAATGTCTAGGGAATTGGGACGAGTTATGCCCTTATTGGTGCAGACTCGTCGTCAGGTTTGGCCTGCTCAGTCACCACTGTCGGAGACATGCCCTCCGTAGTGTGCCGGTCGAGCTGTTTGGGGCAGCTGCCCTGTAGGCACTGGAGCGTGCTGCCCAAGCTAGGCAGTCCAGGCAGCAGCTCTCGGGTCTTTATAGGCCTGTGCCCACTCCCAGCAGGCCCAGGGGCCCCTCCAGCAGCCGCACTCAGCCACCAGTTTACAGTGGTGGTCTGCGCAGGTCCCAGCGGCCCACTCATCCGCCTCCCGGGGGCTTTTGTGCCCCCGACCGCCGGCCTTCTCGGCGCCCTCCAGGGGGCTCCGGAGGCCGGGGAGTTAGGCCCCGAGACTCTCGGGGCCGGTCGTCGGCTGCTTTCCCAGCAGCAGCTCGGTTACTGGGCTGTCTGTACTTCCGTCCCTTGGGTGGGTTTCACCTTAACCCAGGGGTACGAACCGCGGTCCTGCAAGAGGACGGACAAGAGTTGTCCGTCCTCCTGGCCAAGTACGCGATCGAGCCAGTAGACCCTCTGCTTAGCCAAGGGTGTTCTACTCGGCGTACTTTCTCGTGAGCAAGAAAGTCGGCGGATTTCACCTGATCTTAAACCTCAGAGCAATCAACAGATTCCTGAAGGTGCTGCCATTCCATATGCTGACCACAGCACATGCACAGGGGGAGTGGTTCGCAACCGTGAACTTGAGGGAGGCCTATTTCCACGTGGGCCGGGCAAGATGGTGCCTTATATTCAGTTCCTCCGGCCCTTGGGCAGACTGACGGCTGCCTCGGCCGTTGGGCCCTTAGGCCCGCTGTCGTTGCGCCCCATGCAGATGTGGCTGAACAGCCTTCACTTGGATGCCAAGTGGCACAGGCTCAGGAAAGTCGGGGTGCCGCAGCGTTGCCTCCACTCTCTGTTACGCTTAGATGGCCCTGTTCTTACTCTTTTAAAAAACCTGAACATCGATTGTTGTGACATCGTTAGTGACTGCGGTATATTTTTTGTGTGTGTAGTCCTCCTTCATCTGCGCGCGCCCGCGAGACGTTCTACGATGCGTTTGCTCGCGCTTCCACTATGAGTTCGGTCCATTTTACGTTGCTTGATTACGTTAATTCATGTTGCTTTTCATTTTATACGTTTTTTTTAAAGGGAAACACATGTTTGCTCTTATTTTATTATGTAATTGTTAGTTTGGATAATCAAAAATAAAAATGTTGGAAACTATATTTTCGCCCAGTCATTTTTGATCAATGAATGATCAAAAATAACGCCGCGGGTGGCTCAGCTTCCGTTGCTTGTCTTTTTTTCAGACCATCTGAATGAAAAAAAATCTAAATTACACATTTAGGTGTTTATTTTTCTACTCTTTTGTCTATTTGAATCCGTACATATCAACAAAATTTACCATAATTCAGCATTAATTGCATATTTAGGGAATAGTATGTTCATAATTATGGAGTTATACAAACAACTATATCCATAATGACCTCAAAAAAAAAGCTTTGACTCCTCATCAACAAAATAAAAACAAGAAATGTGTTACTGAAATGTGCGTGATTTATCACATTAAATATATTTGCATAATTGAAAACAAATTCTTCAGGAAGATTGTTACACAAACATTTCGTAATGTATCTAACCGATCGGGGGAAATGTATGGGGATGGTTATTGATGGTAGTACAATCCAAATAAAAAAAGAACATTACAGCAAACTCAAATATGTGAAAGGCAAAGAAAAGGGCTTTGTTATCGCCTGTATTAATGGTGACCCTCTTTCATCAAACTTTCCACGTTTTCTGTGATTTTCTCCATGAAATAAACATGTTTTGCCCGTCTCCCCATTGCGTTATGCTGGGGCAGCTTATTTAAGAAACTGTTATAATTTATTTGGCTATTAAAAGCGTCCTATCTGTTTCTGTGTTTCCGAACAGAGTCTCCCTGATGCCAACAACAATCTTGTAAACAGAGTTTTGGAGAGGTAGCGGTTTGCACACATTCACACACACAACATATTCAGCCTACCTTTATTTTGTATTGTTTTGACAGTAACTATGTCTTGTAATAGGAGCCAGCCAAAGTCCCTGCAAAACAACTTCCCTCCACTTATGACTGCAAGAATTGGTGAGGAGAGAATGACGACGTGTATCTTGCTTGTACTGATAACTCCTCATGTTGTCATTGGCCTGCAGTCCAGTGTTGCTGATTCAGAGTGAAAGCTGCTGTGTTTGACTCTCCTCTTCACAGGGCCCTTGATCCCACCCAACATGACAGAGGTCAGGCGCCAGAAATCTAAGTCTGTAAGTGCTCCATCACGTGAAAAACGGTCACTATCTTCCCTCAGTAAGGCCTCATTTATACACATGATTATTGGCCTAAGCAGCAAATCAAATCAAGTTTTATTTATAAAGGCAAGGCAAGTTTATTTATATAGCACCTTTCAACACAAGGCAATTCAAAGTGCTTTACAAAAATGGAAGACATTATGAAAATGGCATTTAAAATCAGTCATTAAAAAGAAAAGATAATAAAATAAACATTAAAAGAAAAAATACATGGATAAAAGTTAAAAGTTAAAAGTTACAGTGCAGTTTAAGATGTGAATAGTTCAATTAAAAGCAGCGGCAAAAAGAAAAGTCTTCAGCCTGGATTTAAAAGTAGTAAGAGTTGCAGCACATTTAAAAACGCACATTTAAAAACGATTTTTGGTCGAGCCAAAGTGCTGTACATGTAATAAAGCACACAATAACATATGAAAGAAAAGACAAGACATTTACAACAGAAATATAAAGACAAAACACAGGGAAATGTCATGGGTAAATAACCATGGGTGTTATTCCCAAGAAACTGACCAAAACATCTGTGCTTCACAAACATCAGTGTTTCCCCTAGGTTTACTGCGTGGGGGGGGGAATATATATCTATTTTTAAATCCTATGGAGCAGAGAAAGGAGCTGTGGATTATTGTTATACATTGATGCATCAGTGTTTCTTAGGGTCAAAAACACTAAATTCACAACTTACAATGAAAGTTTAGTTTATTTAATAAATGAGCACATGTTCAATGTGAAAAGTGACAGTAGATAGAGTAGTTGCAATTTGGTGCTATATATAAATATAAATTAAAAAAAAGAAATTAGACACCTTGAATTTCAGGGGGGGCTCTGTTGGCGGGGTAGTTTGTTTAGACACGTTAATCCCAGATGGTAATTTAATTTTCAGTTAAAAAAATGATGTTAATAGTACAAATTTAAGAATTACGCTGTTTTTAGGATCCTCAACTTAATGCTAGGGATAGCAGGCGGACACAATCTGGCTGCATACATTACACATGTCTGGTATAACATCTGTTCTTTATGATATGATTTAAAGAATTTATTTTGGCACATTTCTCAATTATAAAGTAGCACAAGATGGTTTTCAGGGCTGATTTGGAATGAATTATGTAGCGTTAGGTATGAGTTGAATAATTGCCTTGTGCCGGGAGATGTATTATGCTTGGTTTGTTAATGATGTTTAATCGAGACCTGTAAAGTGCCCTGCCGCAGCTTTAATTGTAATTGAGTTAATATGTGACTTGTCTCTTTCTCTAAACCCTCAGTACTGCAGACAGTACTTCAGTGATTCGCTGTTCTGTCGATTCAAGATCTGTCACTTCCAACATGTGCCTAAGGCGGGCGACGAGAAGGTACGCCCTCAGTGAAAATAATATCATCTTAGCTTCCCAGCATCATGATAAACTGTGAACACACTGGAGGATTGTACAAGTCTGTAGTGTTTTCTTTCCTGTCATCAACTAAAGTAGACTGAGTCAGTTAAATGGCTGATGCAATGGATATGGAAAAAACAACTATAAAGCAGAAAGTCATGAGATGGGTAAAAGCAACATACTGGAAAGTGTATGAGTAATTCAAGGGGCCCTTCAATGCTTATTTTCAGGTTCATATTTGTATTTTGTGTCTCTACTGGGACACGTTTACATGCTTTAATATTCAAAAAGGTCTTTATTTTTCTCACTGCCTGTGCTGCAGCAGTTCTTTTCGTTATGTTTCTATGTTACAGAAGTCCAATCGAGGTGTTTAAGGCAGGCGTTAACTAGGCTTTGAAGATCATTGACATGCACAAAGACCTATACAACTGACTATGTGCTAAATGTTAAAACTCTCAGGTGTTGATCACAGAGGCAACATCACCCTCTGCTGAGCCATAGCTGTATTTTTTTCTACACTTGATTTCAGAAGTATTGAATCCCTTCCCCTTTTTCCCCTTTTTAGCTGTGCATTGAAACTGTGACGCGGTTCGCTAAAAAACGAATGTGCCTTCAGAAAGCAGGTGAGTTTTCAAACTATCTAGTAACCTAGACCCGAATTGGCAGTTTTTGCGGTATTCACTTCGAAGCAAGTCGCTCTGTTTGAATGTCCTTACCTCTCCTACATTTTACCTATGTATTATGAGTTTCATCATGAGATAGATGTTTGCTCTCATACAAAATGAAAAGCTTTTTAGCACTAAATCTGACCGCTGTAGAGCAAAGAGGATAATCCACACGGCTACTAAAGTATACCACTTCACAACAGCAGCAACATTCAGTATCTTGAAAGGGTCTATCTGACATGTAAAGCTCTAGGAGTGGGGGAAATAATCGATACAGAATAGTATCGCGATACTTTGCGTGGTGATATTGTATCAATACACTGAAGCCAAGTATCAATATTTTATTATATAAACTATTCATATTGCAAATTAGCTTGGCAAAGATACCCTCAAATTCTGAGCGAGCTAAGAAAATAACTCGTTCATCACCTACTTCATGTGCAAAGACCTGCGTCCATACAGCGTTGTGGAGAACGAATGCTTTTGTCACATGTTAAAGACACTGGAACCCAATATATCGTGCAATCTTTAAGAAAGGCCTAAAAACCTTTATTTAAAAAAAAAAAAAAAAAGCCTTTGATTAAATTTGTGTTTCTTTTTTCTATTACGCCCCTTGTAGCACTTTGGGATTACTTTTGGCAATGAAAGGTGCTTTACAAATAACATTTATTATTATTAATTAGGGATGCTCCGATCAATCGGCCGCCGATCGATATCGGCCGATACTCACTCTCTTCCGATCGATCGGTGCTCTCTAAAAATGTCGATCACGAGAGCCGATCGCATGACGTACAATACATGACACTTTTCTCTGTGCGCGGCAAAACAAGCTCGCCAAAATGGCTTCACCAGTCTGGCAGTATTTTAAGGTGTCCGAAAATGACAATAAAACAGCGGTATGCAACATGTGTGAAGCAGAAATCCTGCAGCTCCACCCGCTGTGATGGACCGGTGAGCGGAAAACACACACTAACCCCTAGATTCCACCGGGTCCGTCTGCGCCGCGTTACGGCTGCGCCGCGGTTTTGGCCGGCCTCCTCCGGCGTCATACCCTACCAGGCGCGTTTCAGAAGCATTTCAGAAGCGGAGCGTCGTGCATGCAGGCTCGCAGTTTTTGTTGATTTGGCATATTTCCTGGACAGGCTACTTTGTACAGACAAAGTTAATAATAACTGTAATATTCCAGTTATAAACGACATGAATCAAAGATGTGTTGCTGTATTTTAGTGGTAAAAAAATGCATTCATCATCATAATTATTCTATATATATATATAATTTACACAGTGCCTGTAAACCGGAGGAGAACGCTGGCATTTCTCCTCCTACTTGAAAGACTACGGAGGGATAGGGTCTGCAAAATTAGTTTGTGTGTATATGCTATATATGCTCTGAACGTTCCACTTCCTGCCTGCCCGACATTACGTTACGCCTGCGTCGCATCAAAAATAGGATTCATCCTAATTTTAGAGGAGCCCTCCGCCGAGACGCTTCTGGGACGCTTCTGAGCCGTAACGCGCCGCGTGTGGTGGAATAGCACCCATTGACTAGAGTGGCCGCGATCGATGTGAGCGCCGCGGCGCGGCCGTAACGCGCCGCAGACGGACCTGGTGGAATCTAGGGGTAAGAGTTAGACCTAACACACTTAGCTATTTTATCTACCTCTGGAACAAGCTAAACTAGTTATACATATATTTATTCTTCACTGTCGGGTCACTCATTACTGGATCAGTGAACTGCATGAGACGATACTGACAGGCTGTCAGGAGAGAGAGAGAGGAAAAGAGAGCGCTTCCGTTCATTTCTCTCGTGTTATTATCCAAAGTTAATGTAAACTTGAATAATGTACTTCATTTGAATGTAATAATTATGTTGGTTGTTTGTGGAAGCGCCAATGAATGAGCCCCATTAACTGAGTTTTAAACATCACTTTAAATGGAAGATCCCCATAGGCCCCGCCCACTCGATCGGATCGGCGATCGGTATCGGCCGATACTGATTCCGGTGATCGGCCCCAAAATTGGCGATCGGAGCATCCCTATTATTAATCATATATATCAATATATATGCGCAATATATTACAATATATCGTATCTCAATACTTAGCACATCGTAGAATCGCTATCGTATCGTGGCTTAAGTGTCGTGATAGTATCGTATCGTGGGGAGCCTGGTGATTCCCACCCCTATAGACAGAAACGGCTAAAACAAGCTCCTCTATTTTCAACAGTGACGTCACCAGTGCCTTTTATAAGAAGTTGAACGATTTCTTGACTAGAAGCGTTCTGTGCGGCCTCATAAGATGGCAAAGCGTTTAGCCGTCGACATCATAATCCTTCTTCTCATTGGGAAATATTGAATATATAAACCATGTGTTTCTGTCTCTAGGAGCTGTGTATACAGGATACTACCAGAACAACCCACCAGGAGTGTTTTTCTCCATGCCCGTGCTCCTCTCCCTCCTCTGGGCTCTGCTCAAAGCCGGCATGGTGTCAGAGGTCTTATCGGTTCTCAACGTCAGCCTGGCTCACAAGATTGTGGTCAGTGTGGTTTTCATCCATGTTATTAACAATAATGTCACCCTGCAGTGTGGCATGTAATCCACCAGAGGGCAGGGCATGTTCTGTTTTAATATAGAGAAGAACTCAATGGTACCACCCTGAACTCTCACGTATTCTGCGACAGCCTGCTTTCTGTTATTATGTTCAGAATATCTGGAATATATAATATAATCCCAGCAACCTGCAGGTCCGCTGCAACTCTCACTATTTTAAAATCCAGGCTGATGATTTTTCTTCTGGCTGTCGCTTTATTTAAACTATTCATATCTTACACTGCACTGTCACGTTTTTAGTCTGTGTTATTCTATGTTAGCTTGTTATTATTAATTGTATTCTTTTAGCTTTTTTTTAAATGCCATTTTATAATTTGTTTCTGCTGCACTATTTCTTAATGTTTTTCATTTTTGTAAAGCACTTTGAATTGCCTTGTGTTGAAAGGTGCTGTATAAATAAACTTGCCTTGCCTTAAATCCCAATTATTGATAAAAACTAGGGGTGTTTTCTTTCTAGCCTGGCCCTGAGTTCCTGTTGGCCCTCTTCAACATTGTGAGAGAAAAGAGTCTCACAAGTGTTGTACCTGAACTCAGGGAGCTCACAAATAAGGTATTTCAGCTCACGCGCACCTAACTCACTGTAACGCAGTGAAATCTGTTTTTTTTTAATTTTCTATGAAGATGTAATTGTGCATATTTGTTGATTGACAGATGGCCAGTGCCGGCCTGGTGCTGAATTCGAACTGCTTCGACAGCGTTAAAAACACTCCTGAGTTCCAGCAGACGGTCAATCCAAACTCACTTGTTTCAGTGTCTGGTAACCACAAGTAAGTGGAAGCTCAACATGTATCGCACTAGAATAATCAATTATCATCCATTCTCCATTCTTTATTTATTGATTCTCAACAAATAAGTCACTTAATTACTCTTTATACTTATTTTATTTATTTTTTTAACTGTTTATTTTCATTTTTACAAATCAAGACATATCCTGACATAGGACTTTTCCATTGAAATGACAAATAATAATATGGTAAAACAGAATATGAAATAAAATAAAGTAAAACGGTTACAAGTTTAAAATAAGGAAATAAGATACAATTTTTTTTTTTTTTTTCCATAATGTTCTTTTGAAACTCAATTAAGTTAAAACAACCCTTTTCAACTACCTAGGCATCCTTTTGATAAAGGAGTCCATTCCAGGGTTCCCGCGGGGTCTTAAAAGGTCTTGCATTTGATAATCAGAATTTAAGGCCTTAAAAAGTCTTAAATATGATCAAAAAAAATAAGAAAGGTCTTAAAAATGATTTAGAAGGTCTTAAAAATGATTGGATTTGAAAGGTATTTCTGTGTTGCGTTAGCGTCTAAATGTGTTTTGGGGGAAAATGTCCGGGCTGCAAAGTAACCAGTACGGTAATAGCCTTTCAGTTCCCCCCAACAATTTGTATTGAAATAAATCAACATGGAACCAGTAATCACTAACTTTGTTTCCCCCGGCCCCTTATCGGAGAACACCCAGCTAGTAACCTAGCAACCAAGCTTCAGCTAGCGGCAGTCAGAAACTCCGGTATCTTCGAATCTACTTACAAATAAATATGGGGAAGTGTAGGTTCAAACGTATTTGTTTGGAAAATATCAAATGTAGTGCTTGGTTGAAACCAGTGGAGGGGAACGTGTTTGAAGCCAGCTGCACCTTTTGAAAACAAAATTAGTGTTTGTTTTGCTAATGCAGCGTTAGCTAATGCAGCGTTAGCTAGTGCAGCGTTAGCTAATGCAGCGTTAGCTAGTGCAGCGTTAGCTAATGCAGCGTTAGCTAGTGCAGCAGCTCCCGCAACAACACCGGGGGACCTCCGGGAGACGTTTGGGTCTACGTCAACCCTAAAAGCGGAGGTGCTGTGGACGCTAAATACCGTAGCTAAACACCAATCATACAACAGCATGAAGGCAGCAGAGCTCTGAATATAGCTCTTGTCACTCACACACACACACACACCCTTTTTGTCTAACACGCTAACACAGTTCTGTTATGCTGTTATGTTCAGTCATCGTTCTTATGTTGAACATAAATACATTTACTTTGTAAGTAATTATGGGACGTATTTCTTCTTTCATAGCAATTTTCCTTCATACTTTCTTGCCGTGAAATAGGTCTTAAATTCTACTCAAAGTGGTCTTAAAAAGGTCTTAAGTCTTACATTTGAGTTGGTGAAACCTGCAGGAACCCTGCCATTCTCATATTTTCCTCTTTATACTTATTTACAAAGGTTATCCCCGAGTGCACCCTTCCCAGAGTGCCTGAATCTGGCCGACTCCATTGTGGAAATAGAGGTACAGTTCTTCTCTTCAGGATATTACTTTTGGCAATTTATCCAAGGAGGAAATGGTTTAGTATTCAGGTCTGCCTTTGTTTTGTTCTGTCTGTCAGCTGTGTGCCAAGCAGGAGGACTGGAGGAGGATGGGGAATGTTTTCCGGTCCATTTGTCAGTTGTCCAAACAACCCCACCAGTTGGGGCAAATCAGCGGACGCATCGCCACCGCGCTGCTCTCTGAGAGCAAAGACAAGCTGTCGCTGCCCTTTGCTACCTTCGCTGAGTCGGGTAAAAACTTTTACTTGTAATGCATTTGTTTTCATAACATGCTTCTGTATAGTAATCCTGATTATGTGATTTTTAGTGTGTCAGGGGGAAGATGAGGAGAGCCTGGTCGGGAGTTTTTTGGGGCAGAATTGGAGTCTCGCTCATGTTGAGATACCACAAAACGCAACAATGGTCAAAGGTAAATAAACAGTTTGTTTCACACTCCTATCTCCTATGTGTGCGTCTGTAAATCAGCCTTCATGTTACAGGGAATGTCTTTACTCAGGTGAGCTTATGTAGCTAGCTGTGATATAAATATAGTGCTGCAGTAATGAGTCCTAAAACACCGAAAATACTTTTTCAACACTTTCGGTTCCCTCGTCTCTAAATCATTGTTTTTTTGTATGTGTTGGAAGCCTGAAATCAGGTCTGTGGTCAACACAAGCTGAACAGATTTACACGTTAAATACCTCAGTAAATACTCCACTCGTCAATGTCCGAAGCTTCTAGTGTCATAAAAACGGCTGTTCGTAGTAAATAAACGACTAAACTCCATCATGCTAACACAAGTCCATCTCTGGCTTGCATATACAGTACGCTTCAAAAATCTCAAAGTGGTGTTAATAAGTGGTCCGGGCCTTGGCCTACAAAAGTACATCATCACTGCACCGCTCGATAAACTAGACCAAAACAAACATTTGTATGAATTAAATCAGCTTTTTATTGTTATCATAGTACAATCTTTATGGTTTGATATTAAAGTAATACTGCCGATTGACAAAAACAGGATTACCTTTATAATCACACAACATAGTATTGTTGTTATTTTTGTATAATTCAAGATGCAGCATTGTTTGTAAATGCCATTTGGTATCGCCATGTCTGTGTGTTTTCATGTAGGGTCGGAGGGTGGTGGATGTGCTGTCCTTTTCCAAAGTGAACTACTCCAAACTGATGGGTTTGTTCGGGAACGAGAACGGAGCCTCGCGCTGCTCCCTGGTTACCGTGGCGGCCGAGCTGCTCCTCCTGAGTGGCAGCGTGGAGGGAGCGCTGAACACACTGCGAGGTAACTGACCCCAGAGTTAATAGGTTTTCTATGATTGCTCCAGCTCCCCCCATAATGCATCTAAATGTAACCGTTGTTTCTACTCAGCAGTCAGTGTCATCCACCAGGTCTTTTGAAGATGGATTCTGTTCTATGCAAAATAAAAACCTTTTTGAACATGATTTTGACTCTGAGTTTGAGTTGGATGTAGCTTAGCCTGATATAAAATGTCTCCAAGAAAGATGCATACAACAGCTCTAGACTTTAACCCTACTGTATATTGTTATTTTGTGTGCTTTTAGCCTTAGAAATATGTTTTAAAAAAATTAAGAATTTAGTCCTTTTTCTTTGAATTCAGAAAACAAATGGTTCCTGGGTTCGTCGTCGTGGCCGTGTGACCCTGCCGATCTGGAGAGTAGAAGCCGTGTGTTGATGCGTCTGGCCGAGAAAACCTCTCACAGAGACACGCTGGAGGTCCTCTGTAATCTGCCTGGACTCAGAGAGCTAAACGGTGAGAGCAACATAACACAGCTAACAGGAAGTTCAGTGGTTGCTAACGTTAGCTAGCTCTCCTGCTGATTTCAACACTGATTCTTAGTTCACAACGCAGCAAGGGAGAAATATATGTATTTAAAAAGTGACTTTACTCTATCCCGAACACATGTTCAGTCATCCTCGGTACACAGTCAGTCTCTATATTTACATTTGAGGAATTTTGATAATAATTGTGTCCTGTAAGATACTAATACGTTTACATTGTGTTTATTCTGTTGTTTCAAAGTTATATTGTTGCTGCTCCTAACTTAATTTAGCCTGTTTTTCAAGTATTGAATTCTAATTTGCCTTTAAATGTAAAGACAACCAGGCTGGCAGCAAAAATGTTTAGCTAATATGCTCACTTATATATTTGTTATCATTATTTGCAAGTCCTATGATCTTTGAAACGAACAGATTGTCCTCATATCCTGCAGGCCTTGTTTATAAATCAATAGATCCATAACACATGTCACTTTCTGATGTCAAACCTATGAAACCACAACACTCACCAGACATTTCATTAGACTCAGAATCACTCATTTCGGGGGAATCCACTACCTTTTTACTCATCAATCATTGATAATAATTTCCATAATTCTGCCTCCATGTAACCACATTTTATCAGCAAAAGTAAGGAGCCTAAAATGTTGTTTCTTAATGAAGTATAAACATCAAATCAGCAGCTTTTCTCAATTCTGCCCAGTTTTTTTCCCCCTGTAGGAAAAAACAGGAAGACTTGATGTAGTTATTTGTTGTGAAACACTATCGAGAGGCGAAATCCCGCCCATCTACTTCCGACCCATGGGACCTTATTTCGGAAAAAGTATGTATTGAAGTCAATGGGGAGAGAAAGATTATCTTTCGATCCCGTTTGAATTGTGCCACGAATTACACATATGATGTTTGTCAATCTTAAAAAATCATTTCCATGTCAAAAAAGTCACAGTTTGTCGTAAAACTGTTGAAATATAAGACTATGAAAAATACGCAACTAGAAGGACTACAAATCCCAGAATCCCGGTCCCGCATGCTGGCTCTTACGGAACCGACTAACTCCCCTTGTGTGTATGTACAGCTCTCAACATGCCCAGACTTGGAGTGATTTTCACCTCTTTTAATACTTTCCGCCTCATTCTGAAAGAAAGAAGTGAAATGTGCCAACGTGACGGCCGTCTTTGTGTGTGGTGCGAGACGGGAGATGTAGTTCATTGAGCGGTTTCACACAAAAAAAGTGTTACTTCGCAGTTTTACGACACATTTTTATTTTTTTGACTTGCAAAATTATCTTTTAAATTGACAAACATCATATGTGTAATTCGTGGCACAGATAATCTTTCTCTCCCCATTGACTTCAATGCATAACTTTTCCGAAATAAGGTCCCATGGAGGTCCCCCGGAAAGGGAGGGACTTCGCCTCTCTGTAGGATATGTATATAACAATATATTGAGCCGTCTTTAAAGTATCTAAGGTAAGTGCAGCAGTTAGATTTGATGCAAAGCTAAAGGATGTATCCCCATGTGTTTCTGGCTGCAGCCCTAATTAAGATTTTATTATTCTTTTATATTTTTTGTTTTCCTCAGACATGGTCGGCATCCCCAAGTATGATCCTCTGTTTAACTCTCACCTGCAAGTGTGCATGGACCGACAGATTCTCCCCGTAGCTTCAGACACCGTGGACTTCATGCTCAGTAAGAAACTGTCCGTCGATCCTCTTCTGCTGCAAACGCTCCTGAACAAACTGGGAAAGCAGAACCTCTGGCCCCGAGCGCGGAGAGCCTTCAGTCGTGAGTCCTGCCCTCTGGTTTATTGGCTGCTCTGTTTAAATATTATTATGGATTCAGGATGCACTGATTCTAGCGATGTTGATAGTAACAATTTGGCAGACTTTTGATACTCATACCAATGTTTTTTGTAGTTATTTATAATTGTTTGTTATTTGATCCCCCTTCTGGGCCAGGGCAAGAAAGACCTCTTCATTATAAATAAAATAACAGATAAATATCGTCTTTAATATGTTGTATTATATGAGGATAGCAGTCAACAAGGCGGAAAACCGACAGTAATGATCAGACGATTTATATCTGTGCATCTTTCATATATTTCATATTGTATCGATTCAGTTGTCGTGTCTTATCTGTCAGAGAAACCATTATTTTATTTATTTTAATTTAATTTGTATTATTCATTTTACCTCCTTGTGTCTATTAACCTGATGCAATTGTATATGTTGCTGCATGTACCTGTAAAGTTCTTAACAAATAATCTGAGGGGAATTTCTTGATGTGTCATTTTGTAAAGCACTTTGAGCTGCATGTGTTGTATGAAAAGTGCTATATAAATAAAGCTTTATTATTATGATCTCTAATGTGGAAATGATTAGCTGAGTTAATTACTTTTACATTCAAACCTTTGTATGAACAGTTGCATCCCTGTGTTTATTCTTCAGACTCCGTGAGTTCGGGCTACTACCCGGAGGTGTCGACGGGCTTCATGGCCCTGATGGTGCCCTGCTCTCTGGGGGAGGTGGAGCTGGTTCTCTGCTTGGAGATGTTCGTCACGGTCAACGCCACAGACATCTTCCAGCTATCAGAGACCTCCACTTCCTGTCTCAGTATCACCCTCAAAAGGTAAGACAAGAAGGGTTTATTTAAATGGCACATTTCAACAAAAAGGCCAATCAAAGTGCTTTTTAAAAACATTAAAAGCATTGACAAAGAACTTTCTCTGAGCACCAGCATCTTCACCAGTAAGAACAGAGCGAATACCGTTGCAAACCACCGCTTTGAGGAAGAGCGCTCCTCCCAGCGTCTTTTTTTCTGAGCGCTTATTGTTTTCAGAAACACGCTGTTGAAGTCACTTTAGAAAATGGAGGTGAAGCTTGTTTTTGGCCGTGTCTCTCAGACGGAAAAGCCAGTTTGAAAGAGCAGATCGGCCAGGCCAGCTGTTGCTGCATTTTTTTATGTTTATTGTATTTTATTCCATTTTTTTTCGATGATGTAATTCTTGTAGATTGACTGTCAAAAAGCTGCTGAGACAAAACAATTTCCTAACTTGCGATAAATAAAATATCCGTCCGCCTTATCCATCCATCCATCCATCTATCTATCCATCCATCTATCCATCCATCTATCCATCCATCTATCTATCTATCCATCCATCCATCCATCCATCCATCTAGCCATCCATCCATCCATCCATCCATCCATCCATCTATCTATCCATCTATCTATCTATCCATCTATCCATCTATCCATCCATCCATCTATCTATCCATCTATCTATCTATCCATCTATCCATCCATCTATCTATCTATCCATCCATCCATCCATCTATCTATCCATCTATCTATCCATCTATCCATCCATCCATCTATCTATCTATCCATCCATCCATCCATCCATCTATCTATCCATCCATCTATCTATCTATCCATCTATCCATCTATCCATCCATCTATCCATCTATCCATCTATCCATCTATCCATCCATCCATCCATCCAATCAAACGTTAATAGTCATGTGGACACAGGCCTTAAGATAAGAACAGTTAATGAGTGTGTTTGTGTGTGAGGTCGCTGGTTGCATCATGTGATCTGTACGTACCTGACGCTGCTTCCTCCTCCTCCTCCAGGACTCAGAGCTGTGAGAGCGAGTACCTCTCCGCAGGAAGCCGCCTCCTGTCCGCAGCGTGCACGCCGCAGCCCAAACTGGTCGTTCACTACACGGCCGTTAACTCGTCCCAGGATCAAGTTTTCACTCTGGACGTTTTCTCCGCTCGATCCTGGCTCCGCCACAATCACCTGTGGGCCAACGAGGTGTGGGTGCGCAATTCCTCCGCAGTCCCCCGGACATAATTAACTTTCCTTTTTCCCTTAAAACTGCTTTTGTTCCAGAGGCTGCGGTTGACTCTGGGAAAACAACCAATGAAATCAGGAAAACTAACGCATGTACATTTCTGTTGGCTGTCATATTTCAATTTAGCCTTTGACCAAGAAGAAGAAACTCACAACCAAAGACGGACACCAGACATTTTCAATGTTTGATTTTTGTACAAAAATAATACCTAATTTTTGTTCAAATTTTGTTTTAAATATGTTAAGGATTTTTATGTTAATTGTGGTTTCCTGAAGAGTTATTTTAGCTGATTTGTCTTTGATTTATATAAGTAGGTAATCTGGCAGGGTTGTTATTTTCTTTAACAACAATGTACAATGTGTATATAAGTGTATATTTATAATGGTGTTAAGTCTTTGACGGTATTATGTTGCTACATCATCTTACTGATTGTCAAATCCTCAATTGTTGCTTGTTCAAGAGCTGTGATTTACATTTTCTTTGTAATACGTTTTTATAAAAACTGTTCAGCTCCAAAAGTTTGACTTTGTACTGTTTGTTTGAAAAGAAATCGATTGTCTTCTGGAAAATAAAAGATTGGTAGGTAGTTAAAGTCACACTGCTGTTGTTTTATGCATTTATTTAGAGCATTTTTCCCGTAATATAAACTAAACAAATTTGCATAATGTCTGCAGTTCAATCCCTGAGAGGCAGTGAGAAAGTGTGTTTTAGTAGCTTCCTTTTAAGCCAACACAAAACAGACATTTTCTAACATTTAAAAAAGAATGTTTTCTTATATCGATGTCTAAAGAGCTACATGTGTCCGGCATCAGCTGCATCTCTCACCCCTGTTCCTGTGCATTTATTTACAGATCACTGTAGTCAGGGTTCTTACGGTCATTAAAAACCTGGAAAAGTCATGGAAATTCAAAATGCTAATTCCAGGCCCTGGAAAAGTTATGGAAAACAATATATTTCCCAAAGTTTTGGAAAAGTCATGGAAATGTAACTAAAGTTGCATCAAATATAATTGATATTTTATCTAATCGCCGAAATAGTAATACTATAATGACAAATACTGTATGGTATAGTAATGAAACGTAAAATGGCATTTAACTGACGAGGTATTTTGCTGGTGAGAGATTTTAGTTGCTTTAGCCTGTCGAAGCTAGTAAGCCTTTTAGATAGGCACAACATGTTTCATATGCAGACCTTATTTTCCTGTTCCATGTTAAAATAAACCATTTTCAGTGGTACCGCTGAGAAAGAGTCATTTTTTTTGGTCATGGAAAATTAGGTAAAGGTCATGGAAAAGTAATTAAATCATTGGTGAAAAAGTGTATGAACCCTGTGTAGTGTACATTTGTTACACAGCTACCAAACCACCAGGGGGAAGCAATGAGCAGTGGGGAAGTGAGCATACATGGGGAAAGAAGTGAAATGACCCTTTTATTAAAACAAGAGGGGAAATGCATTGAAATGTGTTGAATTCACATTTCATAGGATTACAGATATGCACAAACGCATGCATTAGTCCAGGTGTTCATTTTTAATGAGGATGTTTTTTTTACAACTGATGGTAACATGAAATGCAAGTCCTCAAAGAGGCAGTGGTGGACAGTACTTCACTTCAGTACAATTTTAAGTACTTTCTCTGACTTCTTGAGTAAGTCCCTTGTCTGCTACTTTATAGTCATACTCAACTAGACTTCAGACACAAAAACTCTGCTTCTGACTAACAAATATTCAGATTATTAATGCAAAATATAATTGAAAATCCCTTATCCTGTATTATTATAGGTTTTGATGATCAATGGGTGAAATACACCATGCAGTGTGTAAAGTAGTTAGTTAACCCTGCCCCTATACTGGCTGCAATATGAAAGTGATAAATCAAAAACTAATAAATTAAAATGATATAAAAGATTCTGGAATAGATATAAGTGTAAAATGAGTACTTTTACTGTCTGTGCAATAGGTGCATTTTGATGTGAATTTCACTTTGAACATTTACTTTTAAAATGTATATTACTTCCAGCAATGCAAAGAGGATTGATACATACATTTGCTCAGATGCTTAAAATGTATTTCTAAGGCAAATAGTGTGTGATTACCAGAGCAAATTACAGATCTCAAACAACTTGAGAGAGGTGAAGATGACACAAGAAACACAAACTGTATTTCTTCAACTTGTTTGCAACATGTATCATTTGTCAGAAACCAGTTGTGAAATGTTCATATAGAGACTTCAAAAGCTGAATAGCGTTACTTCAAGTAAAGGCTCACCCCACACCATTCAGTCATATGACGTGCTGTAGGTAATGCAAATTTGGGAGTCATCCAGCGATAGTTAGTCCCAACACAGAACTGTTTGTGTGATGATTTGTTGTTGCTCGGAGCAGTGCTTTATGAATCGTGTTCCCCCCCCCGCCTCAAGTCACGGTAACCACGTCTGATCTTCATGAAACTATATGAAAGAACAGCCAATTCTTCTTCACACGGAGAATAGTAACACTGGATTCTGCAGCCAGCGTCATGTGCCTCTGCAGAAACACACAGCTCTGTGTTATTCCCTCTTTGACGTGTTAACATAACCTCTGGCATGTTTCCAAAAGGTTCATCCTTTAATCTACTTGGAGTTTGCTGTAAATCAACTCACCATCTCAGCCTTTTTTTTGTTTGAGTCACACCTTTAACCCCAGAGATAAATGGAGTAACATTTGTGACCCATGTCAAATTAGGTTTTTTAAGTGCCTCATATGATCTCTGTAATAATAACCTAACCCCTCTCTGCCTTTGACTTTCTGCATCACATTTCTCAACATTTTCATATTGACTTGTTGCCAAATCAAATGCAACGCAGCAAGATGAGAGATGGCTGGATGATACATCTGGAGAAAGATGCAGGACATTGTGCTCAGTGGTGGAAGAAGTACTCCTAAGTTTGAAGTAAAAGTAGCAATATTTAATTATAATGTAACAGTTATTTTTTCCTTCAGGTGTGCACATCCTGTCATTCATAAGGACAGACTACAACCAGTGTTGGAAGAATACTCAGATTTATACTAGAATAAATGAAGCAATAATGAAATGGAAAAATACTACAATTAAAACTCCCGCTTATTAGTTGAATTATATGTTGTATTAGCTAATAATCTGAATCTGTGAAGTAACTTGAAACTAAAGATGGATACATGTTGTCGAGTTTATGGTAGCTAGAGGTGGTAGAAGTACTCAGATCTTGTACTTGAGTAAAAGTACCAGAGTGGAAGAATACTCTGTTACAAGTAAAAGTCCTGCAATCAAAATGTTACTCAAGTACAAAAGTATTAGCATCAAAATATACTTAAAGTACCAAAAGTAAAAGTAGTCATTGTGCAGATTGGTCCATTTCAGAATAATATATATGATATGTTTTATAATTATTGATCATGAAAGTGTTATCAAAGCTGGTAAAGGTGCAGCTTGTTTGAATGACTTTGTATTCTGCAGGGTAGCTTGTGAATTTACTCCAGGTATAACTAAGGTCTGATTTAAAGGTTGATTATATTTCACATCATTCATCCACATCTGTAAAGCAACTAAAGGTATTAAATAAATGTAGTGGAGTACAAGTACAAAGTATTCAAGTAGGCTACCTCAAAATTGTACTTTGTTCTCATTGGAGTAAATCTAACTATTTACTTTATACCACTGGGTTTTAGTACTTAAACAATGTTGGATGGTTTCATCCATACCAATTAATCATATTTTAAAAGTCTTTCCTAAAATCAAAATGTATAAAGTAACTAGTAAATAAATCTGTAAAATAAATGTAGTGGAGTAAAAGTAATAAAGTAGCATAAAATGAAAACACTCAGTTAAAGTGCTTCAACATTGTACTTAAGTAAATGTACTACATTACCTACCACTACTGACGCCAGTGAGCATTGCTCGCACGCGCGGACGCGCTCAAACTCCCGTCACCGTCGGGAACGCGCATTTGACGCACACCCCTCTCTCCCTATGCTCTCTCCTCCCTTGGGCGGAAGTGGGTCCATTTTTTCTCAAATGGATAAGAGTGGCTCGAGGAGTTGCACCTCGAGCACCACGGCAGCCACGAAAGCGCACACACCTTATGTTTATGTTAATCCTTAACCAACCGGGAGTAAACAACGGCAACAACAACGCAGTACGGGACGCGAATCCTCTCCGTACGGCCGTCGGGACCGAATTTTTCGGCACCGTTTTCCACGCTGCTAGTGCGCATTCCTGCACGCAGAGAGCCAGAGATCCAGCCCGGCCAACGGAGAGCTGCTAGCGTTCCTCTTCACAACCCCGAACCGGTGCATTCACCCCCGGAGGCTGGTGAAACACACCTCTGATGTTTGGGCTTTACTGGAGACTCCGTGCGTCTGTTGTTTTGGAGACCCAAGGTGCACCATGGGATGGTTGCTTTGATGAATACGAGTACGGTCTTGCGTTCCGAGTCGACTGACCGGTGGCTGCGCCCGACGCCGCCTTCCAGGGCCCCGATGGTGGACTAGAGAGGAGGAAAACACAACCACAACACAGGCCTTAATTGGAGAAGAGGAAAGACCCATTTAAATCCTTTTTACGCTCGTCTTGGTGCTGTTGGAGCCCCGCAGTCATGGGCAGGAGAGACGGAGCCTCCGGTTTTTCGACGCCTATCCAGTGTCACTCCAGTTTCGGGTTTATTTTATGAGCCTAAACACTTTTTCTCGACCATTGTAAGATTATTTGAAAAGAGGGACGCGGATGCTTCACCCTCGCCTTACACAAGTGAATGATCATAAACGCCTAAAAAAGTGTTTTGTTTTTGTTGCCTCATCTTCGGAGAACTGCCTACCTCCTTGTTTCGCATCAGGTCAGAGTTATATAATACAGAAACAAATCTGTAAGTCCATGAGCACCGTTTCCACTGTTGAACTGATACCTCATGAATCTACCTCAAATATACGTTTTTTCGCTACACCTCACAACTGGCCGATGTGACTCCAGATAAATACCTCAGATTGCGCATGTTGTAAACCTGGGTTTGGGTAAATGCTGCAGATGGCTTCGTTTCCAGACTCGGACCTGCAGACCTGCCCGCTCTGCAAGGAGCTGTGCGGGTCCTCTGCTCCCATTTCCTCCAGCTCTTCTACCTCTTCATCTTCCTCACATACCTCCTCATCTTCCAGCCAGACCACCAGGAGGCTCCACGTCCTGCCCTGCCTCCATGCCTTCTGCAGGCAGTGCCTAGAGGGCCAGCGGAGTCCCGGGGAGCCCCTGAAGCTGCGGTGCCCCACCTGCGACCAGAAGGTGTGCATCTCAGAGGCCGGGGTGGACTCCCTGCCTTCCTCAAACTTCCTGTTCAGCAACTTGCTGGACGTGGTGGTGAGCTCCGAGGAGCAGATCCAGAACAAGAACGGCCACCACAACCACCTCAGAGGAGGCTTGGGTGGAGGCCCCTCGGGTTTCCATCACCCCCATGGAGGCCTGCTGCACCCCAACCACCTGGGAGAGCCTGGGTGCAGCTCCTGTGACGAGGAGAACCCGGCCACCTCCCACTGCCTGGACTGCCAGGAGTACCTGTGTGACAACTGTGTGCGGGCGCACCAGAGGGTGAGGCTGACCAAGGACCACTTCATCGAGCGCCTGGGGGAGAACCTCCACCTGAGCCGCCTCAACGTCAACAGCAACTCAGGGCAGCAGTCCCTCGCCCAGTCCCTGCAGAACAACTTCGCCCTGCTGTCCCTCTTCCAGGACCACATGAGCTTCTGCCAGCACCACGACAATGAGGTGAGTGGGGATACAACTCTGGATGTCCATTCATGTACAAAACACTCCTGACAAACCAATGAGAAATATTTGCTCAGAAATACTCATCTTTTCTGATCTATTTTGACACATTTTGCATTGTCCTTGTTGAATGTGTAATTACATATTCTTTCAACATATGCTCCTAATAGTGTAATAGCTTTATGTGTGTATTATAGAACCATACTGCGGGCCATATGGCCTTGGGTTCAAAGGGAGCTGAGTGGCTCTTCACCTAGTTCCCTAGAGACGAAGAGGCACGTGTGCTGAGCTGGATTTACACACACAAACACACACTGACCCTGCATACACACACACACACACACACACACACACACACACACACACACACACACACACACACACACACACACACACACACACACACACACACACACACTCTATAAGCATAGACACATGCAGAGTCTGGTTAATCTGTACCACACCATCCATTCAGGGCGGAGAGAGGCCCCTGTAGTAACGGCACACATGTTTCTATGACTGTTAGAAGTCCTATCCATGGACACATTATGGAGATCTAGGTTTTCTCTGATAATGGGAAAGACAAGTTGGAACTCGGGGCCCAAAGGGCTTTCTTTTTTTTTTTACTGTGTGATCTGGGTAAAGTAACTACAAAGGCCTGTAAAACAGGAAACCAGCTTTTTCTTGGTTTAGTCATATGGTCAGGAAGAATAACAAATAGCATTGGTAGGGGGTCTTGGAATTTCATTTTTAATCCACTTCTGTTTACTGTTGAGCAGCTCAAGGAGTTTCTCCTTCCAACAAGCGCAGGGAAAATAAATAATTGTATCTAAAATGTGCAAAAAGGTCTGTTATCCTCAGTCAGGTAAGTCAGCAAATGTAATCACCCGGTATATTTGCACCTAAATGATTAGATGCATTACATTTTGTAGCACTTTTGCAAGAGTTAAAGCACTGCTAACTTTCCCACATAACCAATTATCAGACTACACATGTATCTTTCAGATTACAGTAGCACGTCTTGCTGCCTGTCTCACACAAACACCCCCGAGGACGCAGCAGGATCCCCTTCATTGTTAACTGAACCTTGAAAATCATGCTGGCGCTGCCTACTGCGATTAAAGCCTCATAATACTTCCAGTGGTACACAATGGGAAAACTGAGAGAGGTTGGACTAGTAATAAAGTCCTCTGTCGCACTGCTAACAACCTGTTATACACGTTTTGATTCCCTGCAGATGCAAATATATATATTTTTCTACTCCGCTCAACTGTGAGAAAAGTAAATAGCTTCCTAATTCTTTATGATATAGTTGCTAGGACTTGTTTAAGAAAAGCAATGCAGCCGTGTCCAGAGTTGTAAAAGAGTCCATTAAAAAGTTCTCAAAATGCAGAGATGTAAAGAAAAACTCAATCTGTCTGACGTTTCCAAACATAAAGTGCCCAGTCACAAAACCCCAGGTCACATTTTCAATTAACTTCCTGTCCGACCCCCCCCCCCCCCCCCCCCCTTCCCCCCAACTCCCCATCCTTTGCCAGTAAATAGGTGAGCGCAGTTTTCCAGTAAGGGCTTCATTTCCCAGTAATGCCTCACTCACTCACTGTGCTTCAGCCCTGGGGGAGGGACTGACACAGGAGAAGGCAGCTCTGTCTTTACCTTTGAGCACCGAGCAGGCCGTCATTGTCCGTCAGCTAGCTCCACATCCATCACATATTAAAAAGCTTCCTCATATATATATATATATATACCCAGTCATTCGGTTGGTATGCTCCGTAATTATTATGCCTTTGGAAAGTCCTCTTTATGTATTCTCAATTCTGATTTAATCAACGTACAAGTTGCCATTTATTAGTTTGTGAAGGAGCCAGTATACTCCTGTTTCCAGACAGTTCTCTAACTTTCCAAAAGCGTTGATCTGTCTTCATGCCTACTTTAGCAGTGCATTGGTGAGGGAGAAACCAGTGTTCGTACTTGTCTCTTTATCCCATTTCTTCCATTCTATTCCCAACTATTTATGTCAACTATTATGTTTTCTACTGTCTCAAACTGGTGTATAGGCAGGACTAATACACCTTGTTACTAAGAATATTGTCCAGCAAAGCTCCAACCAGATATTTCAGTCGTCTGTTTTTCTTGTATAGTGGGAGCTGGTTACTGGTGAGGACAACAGAGAGCTGAAGTACTGGTTTTCTGACAGTGTTTTTCCAATGATTTTTTCTATCCTGTCATTCTATTAATCTAGATTTCCAGTGACGCAAACACAGTGGACTTCATGTTGTCTACTGTCTAGTTATGTCCTCTCACGCAAGCCCAGAACCAAGTCAGCTGGCAGTCAGCTGGAGCCTCTGCTCTGTGTTCATCTCTTAACATAACACACAAGGCATTACAAAGCACGCTTTTGTCTAGGTGCTCCTTTGAGGTATGTCAGGGCCCTCATACCAATATAAAGACTGAGTAGTGTGGAGCAGAGTATCATCCAGGAGCCGTGTCCGACCCTTCCAGTGTTACGTGATCCGGCCGAGGAATTTCTCCTCTCCCAGGAGATGATGGTTACTGCACAGGAAGATTTTGTTAGTGAAGTTATTGTGGAAGTGCCCAGTCCCTCGGGTCTAAGAGGAATACAAGGAGAATTACATTCAGAAAGGGTCCGTAGGAATCCCAATCCCATTCCCCTTTACTGGAGATTTTGTTGCCCACAAGACGTAGGGTTGGGTAAAAGGGTGCAGCAAGAATAACGGTGTAATTAATAACATTAACAGTGCCTCAATATATAATGGAACAATAATTAATGTCATAACTGACACCTAATTTGACTTTTCCTGGAGAGAAAAAAGTTTAAATATCTGCTAGGAAATAGACTTTAAATGACTTACTACGTCAAGCAAAATGATACAGTGCTATGTTGTGTTTAGTCTTAGCAAACGTTAGCTTGACTGATTGGTGTTTCTGGAGGTCCCGTCTCTTGCCATCTACAAGTTGTTGGTCAAAGGGCTTGACTCTCTGCAATGTATGAAGCTTTCCATCTTTAGGCCATAGATTTGGATAAGGGAAAACTACAAACGGGCCGTTTTAGGAAGAGAATGTAAAGCCTTAATGCTAATTTGCTACAGCGAATACAATTGGCGAATATTGGTTAAGTAAAAGACGGAAGCCTGTAACTACTTACATAGTTTCGGATTCAGTCTTGGAAATCGTCTTCAAACTCAGGAAACTTGGTAAGACCCTGATATTGGAAAAACGGAGATGGTCATACTTGGACTTTGAGGGGAATGCATAATGTCTCATATTTTAATTCCATCAACTGCGATGCAGAGAGAGGTTATGTTTGTTTTCCCTCTTATGGAGGCCGCGGAGCGAATATCACATTTATTTGCTTTGGCTTGAGTTTGTCTCCCAATTCTGTGCGCACCAGTTTATCGAGTTAACTCGTTGTTATTGTCCACGCAGAAATTGCAAAACCTAATTGATTTACGAATGCTGGAAACAGAAGGATTGACTGTGAAATGAAGGGGTTTCAGTTGAAAGATAAGGCAGTCCGCTACACACTGATAAGAATATGTAGGTTAAGGTTTTGCACACATGAGTGAATATGTTGGCCTACTTAAAAGCACGAATGTCAGTTGTTACTCATTCAAAGAGGCCCTGCTCATCCGAAAGGGGTGCCACGTTGTGTGTGTGTGTGTGTGTGTGTGTGTGTGTGTGTGTGTGTGTGTGTGTGTGTGTGTGTGTGTGTGTGTGTGTGTGTGTGTGTGTGTGTGTGTGTGTGTGTGTGTGTGTGTGTGTGTGTGTGTGTGTGTGTGTGTGTGTGTGTGTGTGTGTTGTGTGTGGTGTGTGTGTGTGTGTGTGTGTGTGGTGTGTGTGTGTGTGTGTGTGTGTGTGTGTGTGTGTGTGTGTGTGTGTGTGGTGTGTGTGTGTGTGTGTGTGTGTGTGTGTGTGTGTGTGTGTGTGTGTGGTGTGTGTGTGTGTGTGTGGTGTGTGTGTGTGGTGTGTGGTGTGTGTGTGTTGTGTGTGTGTGTGTGTGTGTGTGTGTGTGTGTGTGTGTGTGTGTGGTGTGTGTGTGTGTGTGTGTGTGGTGTGGTGTGTGTGTGTGTGTGTGTAGTGTGTGTGTGTGTGTGTGTGTGTGTGGTGTGTGTGGTGTGTGGTGTGGGTGGTGTTGTGTGTGTGTGTGTGTGTGTGTTAGAGTGTGTGTGTGTGTGTGTGTGTGTGTGTGTGTGTGTGTGTGTGTGTGTGTGTGTGTGTGTGTGGTTGGAGTGGAAATGGAAAATTGGATTACATCAAAAGGGTGCCCTCTGCTTGCTGTGATGTCAGCCCTCCAACACACAAATACACACACAACTCCATCAGAGGCACGACTAATGATATGATAATCCCACAAAACATCGCTCTGTGCTCTAGATTAAATTGTTTGCTGTGCACGTGCGTGGCTTCTTGGACACACACACACAAATAGCCCTTTTTAAAGTAGGGTGGGAGATGGGGGGGGGGTTACAGAGTGGTTGCTGGGCAATGAGCGTCTACAATACATTGTGTTTATAAGGATGAGGTGAAGTTGAACTAATCAGTCCGACAGTGCGCTAATTTCTCGTCCTCATTCGGATGTTTGTTTGCAGTGGGAGCTCTAGGAATTACATTTGATTTCAGAATAAGAACAGTGTTACAGCAAAAGTGGCTTAGCAGGTAATAAAGGCAAACGGTAATAAAAAAGAAAAGTATCCATTAGAAATCAAATCAAGAAAAATCAGAGTATCAGCGAAGTATGTCAAACTAAGTGACAAAAATAACCTATTAAAGTATTCCAACCGTAAAAAAAGTTTGGGAACATTTACAAACATATTTTTACATAAAAGTGACTATACCACGGTACCATTGCAAACAAGCGTTGATATTACACACTGCAGGTTTATTGCACACGATTGTCCACAATTACACAAGTTTACCTTCTATGTAGTTCTGTATGGGGAAGACAATCACTTGAAACATATGCTGGGCTGGCTCTCTGA